TGTTCCCGGCTCGGCGGGAGGAGGAGGAGCAGGGCCAAGGGCCAGCGGGAAGGCAGGCGGGAAGGCGGGCGCCGGGACGTGCTGGAGCCGCCTGTCATGTTGGTGGAGCTGCTCTTCCAGGCTGCCTGTGTGTCCCTGTTCCTCTCCAGCGGCCAGGGCAGGGTGTATCCCGCGAGGAAGAAGCCGGCCAGCTTTGCCGTTGAGAGGTACCTGGATCCCCTCCCTTTTCTTTCTCCCTCTTCCAGCTACACCTGGGATGGGCAGCGTGCCGAGCTCCGGCTATCCCTGCCTCCAGCTGCGGGGGGGCTCGGCCGGAGAGGTCCCAGCCGGAGGGGCTGGCACCCCGCAATTCCCTCCCTCTTCCCAGGTCCAGCCTGACGCTGCTCCCCGCATCCCTGTCCTTCTCCCCACATCCCTCTCTTGCTCCCCGTATCCCTGTCCAGCCAGGGCAGGCTTCTCCCGTCACCACGTGCTGGGGTGTTCCGCATGGCTGGGAAGTGGTCGTTCCCTCTCTGTCCCGCTTCATCCTACCTTCCTCTGACCCCTGCCATGCTCTGCTTCCCGGTACATGGGCACACCCTGACTGCTCGGGTTGTCCTGTCCTAGCGTTCCTGGGACCTTTGCTCCATGCAAGGGGCTCGGGACAGTGTGGCCTCAGGCTCTGGTGTCCCACAGGCGGCGCGTGGGGCCCCACATCTGCTTCCCAGGCTCCAGCAGCGGATGTTGTCCCGGCTGGATGGTGTCCCCGGGCAGCGGGAAGTGCACCCTGCGTGAGTACAGGGGTCTGGGGGGGCTCGTGGGCTCCTGTTCCTATTGCCAGAGCTCCTGTTCCCATTCCCACAGCGCTCTGCTCCTTCGGCTGTGGTGGTGGTTCCTGCATCGCTCCCAACCTTTGCATGTGCCCGGATGGAGAGCAGGGAATCACCTGCCCAGGTACTGACAGAAGTGGCTATGCCAGGTGCCCATCCCTCTCCACGCCACGAATCCCAAGGGATGGAGATGGCCGTGAACCCGTGGGCACCCTGCCCAACCCTCTTCCCTCTCCATGCCACAAATCCCAGCAGATGGATTGGTGGCCGTGGCTCCTTATCACCTCTCCCCGGCACTGCCCCCTTCCGTGGGGGATCCATGGAGTGGGATGGGAAGCAGCTGGTCCTGGGGTGGCATGGGTACCTCATGGACACTGTGTTTGTGTCCCAGAACCTCCGGGAACATGCGGAGAGTACGGCTGCGACCTGTCCTGTAACCACGGTGGCTGCCAGGAGGTTGCCCGTGTGTGTCCCGTTGGCTTCTCCATGGCCGAGACGGCCAACGGCGTCCGCTGCACCGGTGAGCGGGAATGGCATTTCCCAATGGGAGTGGGCATCCTGATGGGAGTGGGCATCCTGGTGGTGCCCACACCCCAAATCTGACCGTTCCCTGATCCCCCCTAGACATCGATGAGTGCCAGAGCGCGGCCTGCGAGGGGACGTGCGTGAACACGGAGGGCGGATTCACCTGCGAGTGCGGAGCCGGCCGGGAGCTCTCTGCTGACCGCCGCAGCTGCCGGGGTGCGCGGGGTCCCGGGGGGGGCGGCCAGGGCTCCCAAGGGATCCTGACCCTCATCCCAACCCCCAGACACGGATGAATGCCTGGCCACGCCGTGCCAGCACCGCTGCGAGAACAGCATGGGCAGCTATCGCTGCTCCTGCCGGCCTGGATACCACCTCCATGGGAATCGGCATTCCTGCGTGGGTGAGCACCGGGATGGGGCCCCTTCCCATCAGTCCCTGGGGAATGGAGGTGGCCCTGAGCCGCTGAGCACACACCTTTCCCTCTCCATGCCCAAGGGTTGGAGGCGGCCACTGAGCCCCTGCATGTATGAGCACCATGCTTAACCCTCATCCCTCTCCATGCCATGAATCCCAAGGGATGCAGGTGGCCATGAGCCTGTGGGCACTGTGCCAGAACCCCTTCCCTTATCATGCCACAAATCCCAAGGGATGGAGGTGTCCATCAGCCCATGACCACAGTGCTGCCGCCTCATCCTCACCCCTGTGTGGGCCATGCTGAGGGCCCATCCCGGTGCTCCAGGCTCTTTCCTGGGCCATGCCCTGGGGTGCAGCACCTCCTGCCACATTCCCTTATCCCACAGATGTGGACGAGTGCCGGTGGCCTGGCGCACGCCGCTCCTGCCAGCACAGCTGCCACAACATTCCCGGCAGCTTCCGCTGCTCCTGCCGCCCCGGATACCGGCTCAGCGCGGACAGGGTGTCCTGTGAAGGTATCCGTGTCCTTCTCCTGGCTGGGGGAGAAGAGTGCTATGCTCCCATCTCCCTGCCTGCTCCAAGTGATGTCTGTGCCTTCCTGATTTCCTTCCTAGGGTACCCTAAATCTATCCTGGCCCCGTCACCCATCCTGCAATCCCTGCAGCATCCACCCACCCTTGTCCTGCTCCCTCCTGGCTCCCATCTGCTCCCGAGGGGCTCCCCCTCTCCCCACCTCCCTGTGGCAGCTCCTGGTACCCAATTCCCGCCCTCCTCCCCATCCCTGTCCCCTGAGCCGTCCCCACATGCCATGGGAGCCCCCAGCACCTCCATCCCACCATCCCATCATTGTTGGCACCGGGGGATCCCTCGGGAGCCCGGCGCTCGCTGGACAGAGCTGGGATGCCAGAGCTGCACCTGCCAGGTGAGCATCCTGTCCTCCCACCCCTTCCCATGGCACCATGCCGACCTGGGATGAGCCACCATGTGTCCTGGCAGGGGGGACGAGTCCTCTGTGACACTGTGAGCTGCTCCGTTCCCTGCTCCCACCCGCTTCCCGCTCCAGCTGGGGGCTGCTGCCCCACCTGCACGGGTGAGTCCCGGTCTCCTGATCCCCCCCAATTCCCGGGATGGTCCCCCTTGAATTCCCAGGCTGACACCCCTGACCCCCATGGCTCGCAGGGTGCCTGCACAAGGGGGTGGCCAGGGCCGAGGGCGATGTCTTCTCCCCATCTGATGGGAATTGCACCATCTGTGTCTGCTTGGTGAGCTGGATTGGGATGAGAGAATCCCCCCTCATCCCTGGGAACCTCCCAGCCCTGGAGACCCTTATCCCTGGGGACCCTCATCCTGCATCCTGGCTCAACCATGGACTGGGATGCTCTGGAGTGGATGACACCCTCTCATCATCCCTCCATGGGGAATCAGAGTCCTCTTTCCCAGCCCCATGCCCCCCTCCACAGGCCGGGAATGTCTCCTGCCTCTCCACAGAATGCCCCTCAGGATCCTGCCCCAGTCCCTCTCTGGCTGACTGCTGCTCCTGCAATCCAGGTGATCCCAGGACCCCTAGTCTGGGGGAGTGAGGACCCCCGGGCTGGGCTGGGGCTTAGGGAAGAGCCGTGTTTGGCTCTACAGCCCCGCTCCTTTCCCTTTTCCCAGATAAGTGCAATTTCCAGGGACGCACATATGCACACGGAGCCCGGTTCAGCTTGGATGGGGACGACTGCACCACCTGTGTCTGCCAGGTGGGTCCTGGATGTCCCCAAAGATGAGGATCCCCAAAGCTGGGAAGTCCCCAGGGATACCCCAGTGCTTCCCTGCACCTGCTGGGGGCATCCCAGCTTTTCTCAGGGCTGATGGTAGGGACAGCAGGTGACCCATTCCCGTGTTCCCAGGGAGGAGAGGTGGAATGTTCCTTCACTCCCTGCCCCGTGCTGGATTGTCCCCAGCACCAGCGGCACCTGGGTCCTGGGCAGTGCTGCTCCACCTGCCGGGACCCTCCGGCCCCCACTGGTGAGTCAGGACAAGGGACACAGCTGGGAATGGGCAGGGAGGGACAGGGAGAGGGATGAGGGGGAAAAGCTGGGGGAAAGGGGAATGGCATGGCATGGCATGGCATGGCATGGCATGGCATGGCATGGCATGGCATGGCATGGCATGGCATGGCATGGCATGGCATGGCATGG